TGACAATAAATCTGTCTTCCTATTACTTTGGAAAAATTCCTGAGCTATAGGGAGCTAGTGAGGGAAAGACTCAGTAGCTAAAGCTACACTGAAGGCTGTGGTGTATCACACACTACACCGCTTCCTTTGCCTGATGAAGCCTGTGTATGAGTTGTACTGTAAAAAGCCACTCTGCTGCTCTTGTGTTACAGATGTGGGCTCTTTTTAGCATGTGGTATTATAAGCAAATCACTGTGTGGAAAAATGACAAAGTGAAATTGTGAAAAGTTGAGGAACCTTGGGCACTGACCCTCCATCTTCTTCCTTTGCCACTTTTCTGTTGAGTTGGGGGGAAAATATGAGACGGTTTTAAAATTAAATTCTCATTCCTTTCTGGCCACATAAGACCAGGGTCTGGTTCCAGTGCAAGAGTCCAAAGGGCCACCCAGGCCCTCCTGACATGCAAGTCACTCACCTTCCTGCCACAAGAGGGAACAATCTGAAGCACAGACCTGAATTCTCCTCCCCAGGCTTGGTTAACGCTTTCCCTGGTGTGATACAGGTTGAATTCTGCCTCAATAAAGAGGTAAATGCTGTAGCAGAATAATATTACTGTTCAAGGCTCCTGCCAAATATTATGTGCTTGGAATTAGAAATGAATACACCCTCTACATGTTAACAGCGTGGTGTCTTGTCTTGAAAAAAAATCCTCATTCTACGTACAGTCTGCTGTTTGCTTTAATCCCACAACTGCACTGTGTTCCTCTTTGCTCTTTTTTACCTGTCTCTTGGCAAACTTTCTAAAGCAGATGGGAAGATCTCATACATGACACCTGGCATACTATTAATTTTCTCTACTTGCTTTGGTGCTTTTTGTCCTGACACTGCTGAAAGCAATTTTATTCAATGAAAGCTGAAATTCTGAGGCAGAAATCTGTGGTGAGGTGTGAGTGCTTCTTCCAGACTTGCAGTCATTGCTAGCAATTTTTAAGCACTAATGGTGAGGCTAGATTGAATTTGAACTGATAGGAAGATATTCTGTGCTGTATGTTATGTGCTATATCCTTGCCCCTTCCTGAAATTAATGAAGGTATCTGAGACAGTTGATTAAACATTGACAGGCTGTTCAGAGTGAGATAAAGTACACAAGGCAGAGGGGAAATTAGGCAACTATGGAAAAGACAGAAATAATCCTGCTATAAAAGACAAGTAAGTGTAGAATGAGAAAGGGGAGTGCATTGCAGCAGCTGCTGAGAAACTAAAGCAGCTGAAGCAAGAAATAGCAGTGGAAATCATGCACCCCCAGATTCATGAAAATGTCAGTCATTATGAAATCCCAGACAGTATCAGAAAACTCATTACACCCAACTGCACTGGAAACTGGTCAACGACTGGGAAGATGCTCTGCATCAAAGGATATGAGTTTTCCTTTGTCTTTATTATGCACTGTAAGTAATCTCTTCATTTACTTGATGGGAGAAGCACTCCAGTGTTATCACTGTTTTCTGTGTTCTCTGACATCCCAAAAATTTATTCTTACCCTACCCAGACAGTCAGATATGTTGCAAGTACCTTTGAGCTAGAGCTCTAACACTGAGCCCAGGGCACTTCCAAGTTCCTGACTTTATATCAGAGTGGAACCTGTACATCGACCATCCTTCTCCTGTGTTCCACTTTCCACAAAGAGTAAATGTGGGGGAGTGGATGAGGCAGGATCTTTGGGGTGCTCCAAACAGGTTCTCTATCTGAAAAGCCCAAGGAACGCAGCCCCAGGGATCACCATGGCCCTCTGCCACCCCAGTCAAGTAATGCTGACGCATCCCTAAATTGTCTCTCTGTTAAACACTAAATGATTGTGTCTGGGCGAACAAATCAATTCTACCTTCTGAAAGCAGAGATGGAGTTTATAGTAAAATTGTTTTGGGTAGCACTGTATTGTCAAGGTCCTTAATGAAAAACTAATTGCTAAATACTAAGAGACAAATGACAACACTGACTCCATTTCAATACTAGTGCATATCATTGGAGTGATCCAAGAAGACCCATATTTGAACAGATGCTAATTCCTCAACTAAAGCATGCATTGTACTCCCTGTAAATCACAGTTGTCTAGAGGGTTCTCAGCTTTTGTGCTTTCCCTCCTTCATGCTTTCCTCTCCCTATCCCACCCCCAAACTGTTCTTTTTAGCAGATATAGGAAAGGTGAACGTATATGTTCAATTAACAAGGAGGGGAGACCAGTACCAAGGATGAAAGTGTGAAAGTGTTCTGGTTACTGCTGAAGAAAAGGACCTGCTTAAAAATGTAGAAAATATTAGGTATTGAAGTGTATTTCAGGAAGTATATTCAAAAAAAAAAAAAAAAAAGATTTTGTTGCAACACAGTTGATGTTAGCACTAACTGGTAACATTAGAAAGCAAAAAAAAAAAAAAAAAAAAAAATCCAAACCCTTGAAACATTCAGTTTCTAAACTATTATTTATAAAAGCTGACAGACAAAATAACAGGGGAGTTAGCAGGGGCTAAACTTCATGAACAAAGGGAACTTAAATCTGGATTACAGTATCAATCAAAGTTAGGCAAAAGGTTTAAAAGAATTTCCAAAATATGACAGATGTGCAGAGTACCATGTCAAATCACAAGAGAAGAAATAAGCTAATGCGAAAATGCTTATACAGAGGCTTTCAACATTCCTAAAATATTTCATTCTGGCATAACATAACCAAAGTTTATAACTGGTCTTCCACGAATTTGCTGGTGTTGGAAACTGCATGTTGAGAGAGAAAAAGTTCATTCTAAGTGCATAGCTTGATGCTCACACACTTTTTTTTTTTTTTTTTGCTTTGCTCGGTGGGAAGGCAGCAACGTTTCAAATGATAACAGATTGCACAGAGGCAGCTCCGGCAAGAGACACGGGGCTGGGGGCTGGAGCCGATTCAGGAGCGGTTGGTTTACAGTTTACAGACAGGCGCCAAAATTCAAAAAACGCACTGTACTTCAAATCCAGAGACGCGGATGAAAACAATGAGGAAGGAGGCGGCTCCAGGGGCTCCTGGGCTGTCCTTGGTGTAGCTCCGTGCCCTGAGCAGGCATATGGGGCAGGCTCTGACCTCCCTGATGAGCAAAGAGGCCACAGTAATCTGGGATTTGTAGTCTCTTCTTTCTGCTTCTTTTTCCAGCTAAATTCAAGTCAAAACCGACTTGAATTCAGGCAGAATGCTGAATTACACAGAGTTGTATATCATATTATCAGATCTCACTGATAAAGATCTGATAACAGTGATCTTCAAATAGGGAGGCTGTGGAAATGCCTACAGAAAGGGCATATGTAGTGATCTATAGGCTTACTTCCATTTTACCTATCATTCATAAACTCCCTCCAAGTGACCCCACTGATACCCAAAGCTTCACAGACTTGGTGTGGAAATCCCTGCCTTCAGGAGATAGAGGTGAAGGTGCAGTCAATGATGTCCTAGGCAAGATGATGCCCAAGCCAGGTGGGATGGGCACTCTTGTCTACAGAGGAAGCGAGGACAACTCTTTTAATATCTGATGCATATTTTGAAACAAATGCATTCAGGTGAAAACATACTATTTACATGGGCCAGCTGCTAAAGATATGCAGTGATTGCAAGAGGGACACAGCTACTTGCTGACAAGGGTATTGAGCAGCCAGAACTCCTGGATTTATTTTGAGGTTTTCCAGTTTGAGGTATACTCAATATTAGGATCCCAGATCTTCTAACATGAGGATCATCTAGGTTCTAATTTGAGGAGAAACCCATTTGCAACTACTTGTTCAGCCTGACTCCCTAAGTTTCTTTTCATATATCGTGTGGAGTATTTTCTTGCTCTTTCCTGTTTCTCTATCTAGATCTGTCCTCCCTCTCATGCACAGTGCTTCTTTGCATTATGCTCATACTGCTTTTTTTCTTTGCTGTACGTACGTATGGATGAGAGACTCTGAATCTGTTCTTTCTGCTTCTCAGGCAGAAAATCTCCCTTTTCTCAGCCTTCTCTTGTAGCCAAAAGGCACAACAGCAGTAAGAAATTTTCAACCTCCCAAAGTTTTGGGACATAAGGAATTAGCTCATGGGAATGGTGAGCCAGTTTTTACCAGTTAATGTGCAAGAACTAGCAGAAGTCGGGGCATATTCAGTAAAAATATTTTTTTGGAAAAATAATACTCAAAATCTTTAGGAAGGGAAAATTTCTCTGTGGATTATAGTTTGTACAAAATTTGGCTGCATTCCCTGGGACTGCAAAAGGATTTCAGGATAGTTTCCTTCTTGAACAGCCTGATCAGAGACTGGGAGTCATTGCAACCTCTCAGTAAAACTTTGGAAGAAATTTCTAAAATCTGCAAAAGCGCACTCCTAAAAATACACCCTTGGAAATAGCTGATCAGTATTTTTTCTGAGACTCTCCACCCCCAATTTAAGCAAATGGAAGGTCCCTGGCCTGTAAAACTTCAGTGCTAACAGCAAAGCACAGCAAATTCATAAGCAGCTCGAACCAGGGTTATCTAACAATGTTGTAGTAACTAATGTGAAAATACATCCTGTAAGTGAACTACTACACAGGTTTCGATACAATTGTGATAATGTGCAGCACGGCATCACTTCTGGCTGGCGTGCCTCTCCCAGGCCGTGACGGCAGTCAGTGGCTCTGGTGGGTTTGGTGAACGCGGGGTGGCCACGGGAGCTCCTGGCAGCGGAGGGGGGCCGTGTCTTGGGGTGGGGGCCCGTGGGGTAACCGGCAGCCGCCGAGGCCTGGGCAGCTGCCCTGGCTGCTCGCCAGCCCATGGAGACTGTGTGAGGAACAATCATGTTCAGTAGCTCTGGTCCTTCCCGGTTTTATTAAAAAAAATATTTTGCCTCTAAGATTGGCCCCTCGCTTCCTGCGCTTTAATCGCACTCACTACAACCTAATTTTGTATTTTAATAGGCGGAACAAGATATGCTTCTGAATCACGAGCAGATTCGGGCTCGCCTGGCGTCCGGCAGCCCACAAAATGGAGGGCGGCTGGGACTGCACCTCCCAGCGCACTCCGCGGCGCGGCGCCGCCATCTTGGCGCCGAGACTCCATTTCCCAGGCGGCGCGGCGGGTCCGCCATCTTACCGCTCTCTCCTCCCCCGGTGCGGCTGGATTGAATGAGCTCGCTGCCCGCCTGCCCGCGAATCGAGCGCCATGTCAGGCACCCCGAGCCGCGGCACCCCCGGCGGGACCCCGCTGTCGCCGACTCGCATCTCTCGCCTGCAGGAGAAGGAGGAGCTGCGGCAGCTCAATGATCGCCTAGCCGTTTACATCGACCGGGTGCGGGCGCTGGAGCTGGAGAATGACCGGCTGCTGCTGAAGATCTCCGAGAAAGAGGAGGTCACCACCCGGGAGGTACGGCCCGAAGCGGCCTGCTGGCCCTCACCCGCGGTTGCGGGGCGGTGGGGCGAGCCGCGGCGGCCCGTCGGAGGCGATTCCCCGGCTCTGTCCCGGGGGATGGGGGTGTCCGCGGCCCAGGGGCTCCCGCGACCTGTTCCCGCGCGGCGTCTCCGTCTGCCCGCCCGCCCGGCGCGAGGCGCGCTGTGGCGGCTGCGCGGGCTCGGCGGCGCCATGCGCGCCCCGCCACGCCGCTCTCGCCTGGCGCTGGCATCGGGCGGAGCGCTGCCTCGGGGCGGTGGGCGCTGACCGTGCCCAGCGGCCGGGTTCGGGGCTGAGGGCGAGAACTGTGGGGCCCGGGCGGAGCTGGGAGGGGGGAGGTGTTGGGGAGGGGAAGCGTAATGGACATCCAGCTCCTGCCTGCGTCGGTGCGGCCCCTCTCGGGGACTACTGTCTGGCCGCGATGTTGGGCAGAGAGGCTGCTGGGGAGATGTGAAACACGGCTCAGGCCGGGGAGCGTCACCGAGTGAGAATTCGGCACCTGGACCGACCCCGGTGGCGGGAGCGGGCCGGCGCTCCGCTGGCGGGGGGGGCGGGGGCGCACGCTGCCCGCCGTGCTTCGCCCAGGTAGGGCTCGCAGCGCGGGATGTCGCTCTCGGGGTCCTCTGAGCCTGCGTGTATGTCTCGTCCGCCGTGGGCTGATTCTTCGCTGTAGTTGTACGCTGTTCCCCCTGCAGGCTGAGCCTTCTTGGTGTACTGAAGCCGATGCTGAGCACATGCGTCCTGTGAATTGTAGCAGCCTGAATGTTACTTCTTCTTTACGGTCCCTGTGCTGATGGCTGATGTGATGAAAAATACGAAAGGGTTTATACTAACTTTGCTTCTCACCAGAGAAAATCTTTCTCAGTCTCCACAAATGCTAGAAATTGTATCCTTGTAGTGTGAACTACCCTGATCTGCTTCCCGTGATCTTGGAGGCAAAACTGGCTAATCTTTTTTCTAAGCCATGTTTTGTTTTTCCCTCTTCTGTTGTATCCACTTTCCCCCAGGACTCTCCTTCCCGTATGGAGGAAGGATGTAGTCAGTGACACAGCTGGGGACAGTCCCACCCATCCTGTAGAAGTCTAAACCCCCTCTATTGCATCTGTTGGAGGCAGTCAGCAAGGTAAGGTGTTCCACCTCTGTGATGAAGTCACGCTTCTGTGGAAAGCCTTTACTGTAACTTGTGTGATGCAATGGATTGCTGTGCCACTGTGTGGGCTTCCTTCCCCTCCAGTTAAGGATCTGGTTTGATCAAGCTAGGGATGGTGGGAGGAAGGTTTGAATTAATTTAGTCTAAGCAAACCAGATACGGTAGTGTCTTGTTTTGGGAGTGGCTGGCTTACCTGCAGTCGGTGTACACCCAGGATTGAAGTACCTTTAAAGTCCCTTTGTACCACTTCATGATATGTTACAACTTCCATGTTTTCAGAATAACTAGCCATTTCTAAACATAAAACATAGCTACATCACTTGTCCTATGTGAAATCATGCTATAAACAAAATAACTATGTCTGGTTCAGGGAGCTTATCAATTGCTGGAGACTAGAATTTAAACATAGGATGCAGAATGTAATTCTATTGAGAGCACACATATAACGAGTAAGAACAGGACAGACAGATGGCACAGATATAATCTCACTAGACTTTTAGTATGAATATAAATGAACTCCTAATACCAGTTCTGTGTTACCAATTCTGGAAGAATACTCTCGTGCAGTAATTGGAAAATAAACTTGAGGATTTTGATATAAATATCTTACTTAATTTGCTCTTGAGCTTTCCTGCTTCACTTTTCTTCCAGACTTCAAAAGAAGTCCTAATTCTTAGACACAAACTTGTCAGGAGTCCTCAAACTCTTCTCTGATATGTCAGAGACAATCTAAGATGCTCCATCTAGTCTCTGGACCACGTTTGTTAAATGCTTCCACCATACCTTTAGGACACCTTATTCTCTATATATGTCCAGAAAAGGAGACCTTTTTAGTCTTACTGCTTTGTTTCAGGATAGTGGACAGTGGTTTAGGGCTGTGAGAGCAGTAAAACTCCAGATAGCTGTCAGATTTTGAATTTACTGGGAGAATCCTGTCCTTTCAGTTTCGGGACCAATCTAGTAAACTGGATTTTCTGCTGACAATTCAGTTTTCTTGTTACACTGTTAGAATATGTGTTCATAAAATGATTAGATATAGCATGAAATAAGGTATTAATTAAAAAATAAGCCTTCCAAACCCCACCAAAAAAAAACCCAAAGCAATTAACTTCTGTGTAGAAGCACAGTTAAGCATAGTCCAGCGATAGTAGCATACTGTTCTGGCTCCATCACTGTATCTTTATATTAGCTCTACATGTTTAAAATATTTTCTTTTCTCAGGCTGTTCAAGATGAAAATTCCCCTTGGTTGTCCTCAACTGTGTAAATTTTACCCTGTTTTTTTTCTTTTTTGTGGTGTTTTTCTTTTATCTGTTTGAATATTTTAATATTTTTGGCTTATTTCTGGCAGTCGCAGGGAACATCATCTGGTAGATGGTATGATGCACGTTGCGGGATGACAAGCAGGAGTGACTGCTCACCAGTGGGCTCTAAGTTAATGCCTGAGACTTTGCCTTGAGAGCAGGTTATGTCTTCATAATCAAAGGCAAATGGGAGGTTGGGGATTGCTGTGACAAGCAGTAGATAAGAGCATGGTGTCATGAGAGAGATATTTGTCCGTTGCTTGTCACTCCGGTATGCTGCTGTGACCATGTCTAAGAAAGGGGCTGGGATGAGACCGTGACTGACATCATCTCCCACCACCCCTGCATGCATGGGAACGAAGGGTTGGCATTTGTGATCTTGTTCTCAAAGCTCTGGTTTAGGGAAATATCTTCTAGATGAGAGAAGTCTTGCTGATGCTGTTCAGGCAAGGACCATAAAGAGTCTCTGGCAGAACAGTGATTAATCATCAGCAGATCAGGATGTTCTTTTTCCTCATTGTTTTAATTACCAATCTGCAGAAGATCGAAGAAAGCAGCCGCTTTCTCCTCCTCTGTTGGGAAGTCTCCCTAGTTTTGCAGACCATAGCTGCATCATGGGCTTGGAACAAAATAACTCCTGTTGCTCTTTTAGAGGAACACAGAGCTGCCACCTCTTAACAGTAGAGAAAAGGAACTTTGCAGAAGTTGAGGTTCATCTTTAGTCCTGTACTAATTATAGCTCTCTTTCTTGCTTTTCCTAAGCCTGTCCAATGCTGTTCTACCTTTACTTATATGCAGTAGGCCTCTAAAGAAATAAAAATGTATACAGTAAGCCCTCGGACAAATACAAAAAAAATACTTTGCCTGTGTAGCTGGGGGAACCTGTAATTGTCCTAATTTTTTCTCTGTTTCCTCTCTTGCATGAATCCCCTTGTGTAGCTTAGCCTATGGCAGAAATTTAGCTCTTTTTTCTATTTCCCTAGTAGATTCTGTTCTCACTGTGCTGGGGTCACTGTTAAAATAACTTAATTTGTGAGGCTGGGAGGGGGAATACTGGAAAGGATAAGAGGGAAAGACTCCTAGAGGTCTTCTTAATTCCCTCTCTGCTAACTCCCTGCCCTCCCCTGCAGTGCTTATGGTTGCAGCCATCCAGAAGAGATGTTTTGATGAGCGTGGGAGGAGTTACTACACTGTTCTGAGGACATCCCACTCTTCTCACTCACAGAAAGGAGAAGCAGAGAGGCAAAAAAAAGAGAAGATCCCTGGGAGCCTCTGCCACTGACAGCAATTGCCCTTGTGACAAAAGCAGTGTCTGCAGGGGGTTCCCTCTTCCCAGATCTGTGGGTGTGGTTGCAGGTGACTGCAGTCTTGTATGTCACAGGCATCAGAACTTTCACTGGAATGTCACGTGGTCTTCACTTACCTACCAGTACTGCAGCTACTGTGCCCTTTGTGTGCATCGTGTAGTAACCAGAGCTGCTGTCATGATTGGGGTACATGGGTCTGGTGTTGCCAAGCTGCCACCTGCAAAATACAAGTTCAGATGCTGCTGTGGATGGTGGGTCACTTGGGAGTTGTAGTCCCCAAGACATGGGGTTAAATGGTCTTCTGGCACTATAGACATCATTTGGGAGGTGGTGGTGGTAATATGCAACACAGATCTTCATTGTTTTGGAGAACCTGACTGATGTTCTTGGTGAGTCTGAGCCATAGCTGACTGACAGTCCTTCACCAATCCATGACTGGGTAAATAAGAACATATTGAGCCACACCTGCTGGGAGTACATATGCTTAATGTTTTGCATATCAACGCATGCTAATGAGATTAATATTTCATCACCAAATTTGTCTAGACTCACTTGTGGTAGAGTGGAGCATGCTTCTTGCCTAGCATGGAAGTTTGTTGCCTTCTTGGCATGTTCCCTGTGTCTTCACTGAGTGACATTTTGCAACTTTTCTCAAGTGATTGCTGTGGGAGGGTGTGTGTTTGTGTGTCTACCCTTGAACCGCTGCACAGTGAGCTTTGTTAACTGGTTCCAGGACAGGTTAGTAGGTTAAAGAGCATCCAGTGGTCCTGCCTTTCAGACTGGTATGGAAACATCTCTATTGTTTCTGTGTCCCCCACATGCTCTGTTATTTCTGTGTCTCCCCCATGTTGCACAACTACAAACTTGCAGGCTGTTTTGCCAGCAAAAGAGGAAAAAAAAATGAGAGCACATACATAGTGCAGTTTGTAGGGTGTCCAGCTGGCCTCTGTGCAGGAAGAGTTAGGCTTGGGGTGCATATTAACATGTAGTGAATCAGGCTGCAGATTGTCTTCTGGTTCCTGCTGAACTCTGTTTTGAGATTTTTAGCTATTTTTTACCTCACCTTCAGATGGGGGGGTGGGGGTGGGGTGTGCTACATTTTCAGAGTGGAAGAATCCATTTGCTGACTTAACCTGTCATCTGGGGAGGTTTGCTGCTTCTCGGGCTTGCGTTGTGGATGTTGTAGAGAGGCTACCGAGGCTCATTTGGCTGTGTG